CCGAAACAATTACACAATAGAAAGAAAAGCATGTACTCCATTGTTTCCATTTATATTCAAACTACTTTTCACTCGTTCGTCTTAATAAATATATTTCTTCTTATTAGTATCATTGGGCTTGTTAGATCTTTGCACGTACAATTTAATTTCACGTCGACTTTCTTTCGTTCGACAGATCAATCAATCTTTCCTAAGTTTCATGCAACCATCCTTGTTCTTTACATTTTTCCTCGTTTTCCCTTTACGTCATTTTCCAGCGGTATTTTCCTTCACGTAACGTACAAACATTTTCTCCGATCGATAGAAGGTTCTATTATGTACCAATAGAAAATTTCAAGGAGTGGCGAAGAACGCACACCTGTTCCGCGGCACGTAATTCACTCTCGATGGTTTATATCGAAGAAGCGAATTGCATATCGTTCAGCGCGCGCCTGAAACGCGGAGCTGACTATGATTTCACCAGAGATGATTTTTCCATGTAGAATTCACGAGACGCACATTATTCAAGGTCTGAATTAATTTTCTACCACGCCTTTGGAATACGATTATCTCTTTCTTTATCTGTTATGTTTCTGTAATGAGGCGCACGTGCTCGTGTCGCGTGCTGTATACATTATATCACCACGAGAATCTTACCGAGAAAAAAACCCTTCCGTAAGAGTTATACTAGAGAGTTTCTTCGTACAACAAGTCACCACAGATACATTAAAGTTTGCTATTTTGTTTCCGTTCCTAATAAAAGTGAACCGAAATATAACAATCATATTAATAGTCAACCAATATTAGATACGTGGACATGTACGACTGACGAATATGATCTGTTTGAAAAATTGAAGTTATTCGCCCGGTATAAGCAGGATTGATTCTCTGCGGAGTAATTCGAACATTTCTAACGCCCACAACAGTACCACGCGCAAGAGACAATCTGTCCCGAAACAATCAGAGTCTGCATCACGAGCGCGACCCTAACCCCGAAGTCGCGTGCTGAGTAAACCGCCGCATTACCAAACAATCGCCGTGGGCGTTCGGTTGAAATTTAATATCGCTGACCAACAATCGCGAACGCCACGATTTCAACAGATACTTGGAATCACTCGAGAAATACCCGGAGGGCGGATAACTAACGAGGAACGCGCTTCTCCTGCCATCCGAAGAAACTGTTCCTCTAATAGCGCTCTCATACATATTTTTGTCGGAAGTCCGGGGAACAGGGAGCCCCCGGAGAGCCGTTTTCGCGAGATGGGAAAAAAGTGGAACAGGAAATGAGAGCCGGCGGTGTCTATTAAAAGATCCGTTGAATATTAATGCGAGGTGACGTATTCTGGGACGTCGTGGATCGCGACGCGGCGATTAACGAAGCGATTATTAAAATATGCAGAACGTCGTCCTAATTAGCCCAGCAACGAAACCGAGAAGGCGTTTCGTTCGCCCACCCGACGATCCTGTCCAACCCTCTCCTCTTACCCCTCGGCAAAGACACTCCGAGCAACTTTCTCGCGATGCAATTTCCTCGTATTATCACACTCGATTACGCTCCCGAGCGGCGTCTAATCGTGGCTGCAATGTCCACTGAAAATTCCGAATTTCTGAGTAGTTCACGATCGGATTAATCGCGCTGCTGCTTAAGAAGGGATAATTGAATGGTTAATGAGCTGCGCGGTCGTGTACGCTGCCGGCGGGATCGAACGAAAGCTTGTTAAAATGCTTGTTCCCTACAGTAAGAAATTATCTTACTGGATTGCAAAACTCTTTTTGGAGAATTTGAAGTTACGAAACTTTTTCACGCTCAACAAACTATAATAAATTATGTCGAGGGGATAGAATTTATCATGAATAATAATAGAAATTTAATTTTTTCATCTCAAATGACATTAATGCTCGAACGAGTTTAGACGAGTATCGTAAACGAAAGTCTATTCCCTCTAATAGTTCAATTTTGTATATAAACTGAATTGCTACTGCTTTTTCCTGTGTTAGATAAATAACAGTACGCGATATCGTCGCCAAAATAAAACGAATGTCAGAAAAAATCTTGCTAAAAAACAAGTTATAGAAGGGAAAACCTGATCGAAACGAGGACCGGAGCTCTTTGTTGACTTGTATTCTTTCGTGGACACAAAAGCCGGAATTGGTTAACCCACGAAAGGCAAACATTTGTCCGATTCCCTATTTTTACACAACATTTTTTCGTCTCAGTGGTTTTTGCAATAACGAGAACACTTCCAGAAGTTATCTTAAAAGTTTTCGTAGCACTAATAACTCATTTTGTTATTATATAAATTGACACCGAAGCTTACGGAAAAGTGAAATTATCGCCTCGTTTACGTAACGGAAAAAATTATTAATCCAACGTAACTCCCATCATACTTTGTGATCGAGTAGAGGCCTTCGAGGCAATTTCTCATCGAAATTGCATAACATGAAGCGATTGCGGGTAACTTCGTAACTTTAATATTGCATGAAATTCTGCAAAAATTACAAGTATTTGATCTTTAAAACTGTATGAAATGCAAAACAAATTGTTTGAATATTCATTCATTATTGTTGGATAAATTAAATACATAGAGTGTACATACTCAACTATCACGAAAAGGAATTTAAAAAAAATGAATTATAAGAAGAATTGCTTTTGCTTAATTATGTAATGGATATAGACTGTGCAAGACAATAACTGCCAATTGTTATCCTGAGAAACTAGTGAGATGGTTTCGTGGCAAAGACAGTTCACCAATTGTGAAAGTGTATTTACACCAATTTATACTTTGCAACTGCTTGTAGATAATAAGAACAAACGTCAATATTTGTATCCAACTCCAAAAACCAATTTGTTTTAATGCATACGTTGGCACGTCAAGTTACATGCGCTGTGCCTGACTTTTCTAATTTTGGCACACCGAACGTACTCCATTCGCCGCCACTGTTCTACAACTGCTACAGAAGAAGAAAAAAAGAATCAAAGTTTTCTGGTTACCGAAGTTCTTTTCTGCCAGTTGCTCCGGCGGCGTTGAAAGTATTAGAGAAACCCTCCGGATTCAAAAGGATATTATTTACGTCATAGAGCGGCATCGGAATCACGTTCATTTTACAGTCTATATAATCCCGAACTTTCCGTTAAGTTCCTCATTTCCATAGGCGTGTTTTATCGCCGGGAACATTAAAACTTTCGCCCTTAGCGAGAATTATGCCGTGAAATAACTGTTCGCGAAAGTACGGCCAAAAGTGCGCCGCGAACGTGCTTTTAATAATAGAATTTTCACTTGACGCTTCGTCCGTCTTCTCCGAAAGGCGTTACGCATCCCGACACGCGAACTTTTCCGCGTTGCGTAACGCGAGTAATCGACGACGCGACGCTGCGTTCGAATATACATAACTGCATTTTTTCGGATCACCGCTACTTACGACGAGAGAAACCTACTGCGTCGACGATTAAAATAATGCGAAGAACTCAAAAAGAAGAAACGCGAATACCAGCAGACACGACAGTGAGTGACATATAATGACTCCAATCGAAGATCTGAGTGACGTTTTTGTACAACTGTCGAACCATAATAGATTGCAAACATTTAATTTAACATACACGGTGCCTACACATTAGTATTCTGTAATTCATAATCTTTTAACTTTTCATGACTACAGAACAAATATAATTACGTTATTTTTTTAGACTTTATTAAGATTTATCCCAGATGCAACAAACAATCAGATTGACAAATACATATCACAGAGATATGTGTCACTAGTAAACAACATACAGGGTGTTCGGCCACCTCTTAAATTAACCTCTGAAAATTAAGAAGACTAATTCGTTGATCAAGGTTTCGTTAAAAAGTTATTAACTTTTAAAGTTCCGCCTGTAAAACGACAAACTGCAAGTAGATCCTACATTCAATGTATTTTTTCGGCCCATTATTCTGGGACTCTAGAGCTCCATTAATACGCATTGTTTGAATTAAAATCCTCTGTTCAGGAGTTATAATGTTTTAAAAATACGCATGAAATTTCAGTAGAATAAGTTCTGGTCAGACATTACAGTTTTGGTGAAGAATTTTTTTTCTTGAAAATGCGTAGAATTTCGACAGTATGTCTATTCACCAAAAATGATTGTAATTAATCCCCGCAACCGAAAATAATTTTTCCAGAATGATTTGAAATTTTTTAATTTAATTTTTTAATAACTTTTTAACGAAACCTCAATCAAGAAATTGATATTCTTGATTTTCGTGTTATTTTGGCCTCTAGAATCTCCCATTAAAATTTTTCCCAGGAGTGGTCGAACACTCTGTATAATACAAGATGTAACCACCTCGAACACACGTCTTTCGCTCGTATTGCTCGGAGGCAAAGTTATTTCCATCTCCAACTTTCTCGATAACTCGCGCAATATTAATTGGGCGTATGACGAACGCGCAGAGTTTTCACAAATAGTTTTAACGATGCGTCAGTCGATAATGTCAATACGTTACGAGTACTGAAAATGTGTCAGTTTACTTTGATAAGCATGACATGCAATGTGCACTCTATTGAAGCACGACAGCTTTTTGTTCAACGTATCACCGTGATGCCTTTGTTAAGTACGAGCAAATCCAAGAGATCTTTTAAATCAATTTCTACTTTCCAACCTACAGGAGAGAAAAGTATTGTTAATAAGTCGAGTGTACGATGATGTAATGAAATTAATAATTTCCATCTTCTTGTCTAAGATAACACTGCTATTTCCCTTTATTATGGATTTCGTAATGCACAGGGTACAAGTGCTTATTAGAAATGCTAACGTTCAACTCGATCGTTTGAAAAGTGGGCATAATTAGTCCCGGAATATAGCACTATCGTTAACCTACTACTTCTAACATACTCGCAAACGTGTAATTTCAAACTCATGTTACATTGAGTGGATTCGTTCTTTCCAATTGATCGCTACAATAACACCTTTTCTAATGATCGAAATTTTGGCCACTCAACGCCCCCACTGATTCATATTATCCTCGTTTCTATATTCACAGACGACTGCCCAAACTGCGTGGACGAGCACAGCAGCAGCTTGGCCGCTTCAAGATGGACGATGCCGTTGTTGAAGCTCGGCGAGAAAAGATACTACCTGGGGATCTTCTTCAAGGTATAACACCTGCCAGTTACTTTGATTTATCTAGCTGTCCCGTCGACGCGACCTCCTGGACTTTATCAAATTATTTCCAAGCTCGTAACTTTCCGGCTCACCGTCTCTGACACTTTACGGTGCATCGAATGCCAGACCAGCCTGTTATCGATCTATTCATCTGGCTGTGTGAACATCCCCTGTACGCTGTGTATAACGCAAGAAAGAACGCGGGAAAGTGATCTTGTCGATCGGAACCGAGGCCCCCGAGGTTCGCGTCGTTTCTCGAGAAAAAGTAAAATTTAGATCGCATTGACAGCCTATCCCGTCGATGGAAGCTCCATTCGTTGTTTGATAGGCAATTTTCTGACGAAGTGAAGTATCAATTTTGAAGTATACACAGGGTGTTTCATTGTTGGTGGAGATCTACTTCAGCAATTAATTCAATAGTGTAAAACAACGAACAAAGTTCCTTTGAACGCGAAACTTATTGGCAGAAGCGAAACTATGTTTAAAGATGTTCTTAAAACAAAATGTTCCCGGTTGACTATTTAGTAGAAGCAGAGAAAAAACCAGCGAAAATGAAATAAGATAAGTTGGAGAAAAAGAGTTCCGGTTTAAAAATTTTCAATCGAGTCCATTATTCGTTTGCGAAATAAAAGATAGATGCGGAACAGCGATCGTCGTCCGGTGATACGATTACAATGAGGATCATGAAAAACAACGCGAACTGTCGCTGTTACGAAACAGCCACTTATCGTCAGAGGAACGTCTGACGTCATTTCCACCCACCTTCGAAAGAGATCGTTGCAAGGCCGCGGACCGGACACACTGTAGGATTGCAAAATCCGTCTTAATAATGCGGTTCCGTTGCACGCAAGTCAAGGAAAGTGGGTGACTTGCCATGGGGCAAAGAGAGAGTTGCTCGATTGATTTATCCGAGCTGATCACCATTTTCGGCAGAGATGATCGCGATAGGCGACTTTAAAGGGTCTAGGTTAAAGAAACGCGTGCAGAAAGTAGGTGACACGTTGAAACACTTATGTAAAATCGAATTTTGCCGGATTACAGCTAACAAACAGTACCGGCGAAATGGCTCATTAAGGAACAAGCATATGCATGTATTTATATACATATATAAATGTATTTGCTGATATTAATAAGCTGCTCTGTGTTTAGGTAGAAGTCCATGAATTAAACTAAACGTGAATACCTAATAAACGGGTCAAGAGTACTTCTAAAAATTGATCGTCGCTAGAGGCCAGAGGTGACACAGTAATCCTATTTTAACACGACCGATATCGCTCGGAATGTCAGGTTTCCAGTAAAATTAGAAGAAAGTAAGAATTTAGACTTCTCTGTTCCTTTTGGCACTGCCAACGTAATGAAAGTTTCGTTTGCGATTAATATCATCAGTGACCCACGCGATGCAGAACGCGTTAAGGTGAAGATTGTCTGGTGAAACGACTGAATATTACATCGCGTGCACCATGCGAAACGTTAAGTACACACTTCTGACGCATGTATCCACAGCACGATTGAATCATCATCTTTATATTACAGTTCCCTTTTTCGAAAAAACTATCGAATTTTAATATTAAAAACTGATTCTATACAACAAAGTAATCCCTCCTTTTATTTTTACTGTTCGAAAAATTACCTAACAACCCTAATTTTGTAATTTTGTAACGTTTGTTTTAATGTTTTAAGTTTGCTAAACACTCGTCTGGATAGACAGTCGATTTTTAAAGTTGGTAGACACAGGTTACCGCAGAGAAGTGAATATTACGCTCGACGGGGACAGGACACGAGTAATATTAGAAATATTTCAATGGCATCGCGCCGCGAAATATGCAAATGGTGTGCGGCCTGCATTTCTTTACGCTTACCCTATCGCGCATAAAATATACGGGTGTGCTTGTTGCGCGGTCATTTGCCAACTGTAATGGAGCACCGTGTCCAATTTATATACCTTTACGCTTCCATTTTTGAGCTCGTACTTTCGCGGTAGAACATCCGGTGCTCTTTCTCTCGCGGTGATACACGAACTCAAAAGAGATATCGCTGTAACGAAGGACAAAAAATAACGATGCAAAAATCTACCTGTCGTTGGTAAGTTTGAATTGTTCATTGTGGAAACACGGTACAGTTTTTCGTCTCTCGTATCGCGATAAAAGTTTGGTAATTAAAAACTTATAACGATGATAAATATTATAATACTCAATAAAATACAATTGTATTCGACTAAATACGATCTTTAGTGATCCACCTAATTTATGTTTTTTTGTTTTGTTCGTTACAAAAGAATCCTAATTTAGATTACCGATCCCCACAAATTGTCATTGAATTACAGAACAAGAAATAATAACGTCAAAATTCGTTTGCAAGTAAAATGAATCGGATACGATAAAGGACATTATTGCAAAATTTAAAACGGACTTAAGTACGCGTTCTGTATTTTATTGCGGGCAACGTAAAGTGTCATTACGTAGGAGAACTTGGACGGTCGAATACGCGATCGCGAATAATTCTTTTCACGTTCATCGATTGCCATGGGTAATTTGCTGGACAGAACGAGTGCCCGCGTTAGTCATAAAGAACCGCCATTTTCATCGTATTCGACTTGGAATAGTAATTTGCGAATAAATTCGATTGTAACATTAAAACATGAATTAAGAGGATATTCGATTAGTCGAATACTCTATATTCCCCTGAAGCTATTACCGTTATTGTAGCGAATTTTGAGAGGAGAGATAACGATACAAATTATGAGAAACGCTGAACGTATAAATATGTATGTATATAAAGTGGTTAAACAATGCCATAAAGCTTTTGCAGGCATATTGTATACCACGGAACAAAGAAAATATCTTGATAAACATTTTTTTGCTCTGTAGTCATAAATATGCTTGTTGGTTTCAAAGATATTCGCTTGCAATATTGGTTATAAACTCACATATTTTAAAACTTTTAAAAACGTAGTACAAATAAAAATTGTAGACGATTAATTTCAAATGAAATTAGTCTTCAGTGTGTTAAAAAGTACAAGAGAAACTAAAAGTAGCGTGTTGGACTGAGGGGGCGACAAACTTTTTGGATTGTAAGACGTCCTTCCTAAACATACTCTTTACTTCGGAAAACACTGTTTTACAGTACTTGTACGTATCAACCGAAAATGAAACACCTTGTATAAGTATTCTTGTCACTATCAGTGTATCGCGTAGGGCTGTCAATATTTTTTACACGTGGTAAGGCCATTGCGAGCGTGCCAAAGATCCGTCGCGTCATAAATTCACCAGTGACATCACGGGCTGGCCGAATGCGATTTTCGTGTCGATGCGGAGGAATGTTCTCTGCCGTGGTCGACGGACTCGAGGCTCGAACACGTTTCACTTCCCTTACGGAGGAAAACAGAAAAAACAGAGAATGGAGGAGACGAAAAATCGCGTGTAACCCGACGCGAATGCAAATAAAGCGCAATAAATAGAGCGTCGCTGCGATTGCACCGATGTCGCCCGAAATCCTTTTACCAACCCTTCCTTCTCTACCTCCTGCGTTATTCTTGTAATTCTACGTAAAAATACTTGAACAGCTGGATTTGAAAACACAAAAATGTGCAGAACAGAATTTAAACGGTCCCGTGAGATTAATTTAATAAAAGAATTTTTCTCAAATATTTTTCGACGATTGACGTTCGTTGTTAACTACATAATTGAGCAGACAAGTTTCAATCGTCTCTCTAGAGATTTAAATGTTACACGCCGTCGGCAATGGAAGCTTTAAAGCGCTCATCCATTCGGATGATTAGAATAAATTAGAAAATGTCTTGCCTCTCATGTTTTATTAATAAACGACCGCTGATTGCCCGGGGGCAAAGTGCAACACGCTGCATGTATATTTATAAACAAGGATAAAATACCTCGTCGTTTGTTCGCGGTAACGATAACAATAAAAATGATTACAGAAAAACCAAGAAAAGAGAAACGAAAAGCGAACAAGAACTGCGATGAATTTCAAATTTTCGTTCCGTGTTCCTTCAATTAAAATTGCGTTTTTTGTTTTAAATCTTCTAAAATGTGCATAAAGCTTGTTTCTCAAGAAACTTTACCGACATTGTTCTTATCCAGTTAATTTTGTTCTGCATGTTCCAGGCGAACTGGTACAGGGCATCTCAATATTGTCGGTATCACGGGATGCATCTAGCGAGTATAGCGTCTCAAGAAGAGAACGACAGGCTCGAGAAGCATATTAAAGACTTTGGCCTCGGACACGAGCACTTTTGGACCTCAGGCACGGATCAGGCCGAAGAGGGTACTTTCTTTTGGATGGCTAATGGCAGGCCAATCACATTCGAAAACTGGAATGTCGGAGAGCCGAACAATTTCAGGTAAAATCAATTACGCAGCTATCCTAACGAAGACATTACATATTGCTCACCTACAGAGGCAATAGAGAATAAATGACAAATTTCTAAGAATGTCTAACTAATGGACTCAACATGCCACCCCTCTTGGTTTCCCAAGGGTTGAAGCGTTAATTTCAGAAAAGCAATACAATGCATGTTTTGCGTTTCAGATACGAGAACGGTGAGGAGGAGCACTGCCTCGAACTGTGGAACAGAGACGGCAAGGGATTAAAGTGGAACGACAGCCCTTGCAGCTTCGAAACATTCTTCGTCTGTGAAGTGCAGTGATCGATCGGCCGAGACCGACGGACGAAAAACGGATTCGAAAGTCATCGAGCCGTGCGTGATTCGATCCACGATGCATCCGATTACCAACGAGTCATCCCTCGGGCCTTGCCCGCTGAAAGACGGAGCGTGCAACTCTTCGCATCGATTTCCTTTCGTTTCTGCGGACCCCGGGAAAAAACCGGATGAAATGTTACTTTGTGCGTGCGCTTGTGTTCTCGTGTGCGCGCGAGTGTTACACGGCCGTGCGCGTGGTAATTTTGCGAGTGCGTTTAACCGATCGTCGATAGATCGCTCCTCCTCGTGAAAGACTCGTGACAGAACAATGCACGCGCAACAATCGATCAATTTAGAAACGTTCGCGAAACTGGAGCCTGTGCTTCGACTTCGTCCTCGAGTCGCGTGATTCTTCAAGCAGACACGTTTCGATCTTACAATAATGCGATCTTCTATACTGCCTATTCGTGGAATATCTTTGGTAATTATTTAGAATAAAGGGCACCTCCATAGAATTCATTACAATAAAATCTTTTCACGGATAAAGAAATTGTTTGTATTACTTAAGAATTCAGAGAGATTTGGACAACAGGATTTGTATTAATATAAAATTGATAAGCTAATTTTTGTTCGTTAATAGAAGAACGCCAGTATATACGTATCTAATGAAAAACTCTGCTTGAGGTTTCACGCAACTAGAAGATATATGTTACTTCTTCTTTAGAAGAGAGTCAATATTGTAAATGTGTGATCGATAACGGCTCTAGTAAGAACAAAGATAGTTTGTAACCACTAAAAAAAAAAAACTACGAAATTCTAGAATTTTGACGACCGGTAGAGTAGCACACTCTTTTCTTTTTCATAATCGAGTAAGCTTTCTATCAATCCACAAAGTTCCGGATAATTTGTTATACTCTTTTCTTCCTTTTGTTATAAAAAGCTCGTTGTAAACATAGAAAGTCGCGGGGAGAAATCAAAAGACTTTTCCGTAAAGTTACGTGCAGATTAATGGCGATTTAACCGAATAACATAATCCTTACGTTAATTTCTAATTACTCAGAACTAAAAAGTGTTTGCGTCACGATCGTTTAAAAATTTACGTTTTATGTCATCCAATTAGCGTCATGTATAAATAAGTACATCGCACTGTGATTGAAATTTATTCGATCGGAATTTGTATAAAGAGGTTCCACGCTTTTTTTGTATTTGTCCAAAACCTCAGCGCTGAAAACAGTGCCATACGTGGCATCATTTAGTACTATACAATAAAATTCAAGTTATATTTTAATATTTTATAATACCCTTCACAATTTTTCAAAACCTTTCTCCCGCCTCTTTCATGAATGCATTTTCTTTGCATCTATGATTTTTTCACTATTTTTTACACACATGGTATATGTATATCGTGTCGACTTGCAGTATTCGCTTACTCAAACGACGACTAAGTATTAGATACTACGAGTCTAAAGAAAACCTAGAACAAATGTTCCAATATAGATTTAATAACAAAGATGAAGCTTCTCACTAAAGACTCTACTCCTGGTTTAACAAATCGTTTTAAAAAATGATTGTCCCTAATTGCCTATTGTGTCAATTACATATAAACACTTTTCATGAAACACACGATCACAACTATACGTATGAAATGACTAAATATATTTTGTACAAGATACAGAAACCTCATTATAACGAAATAGCATTAAACGGAATCTTAGTACTTTGAATGTGCGGAACTAAGCTTTAGATAGACTACAAGAGTCCCGGAGAAGCCTGGCATACCTATACATAGAAGGTCTCCGTATGTTTTGGGAATCCCGGAGGTCTCTGATGAGATAGTGCACATTTCAAAGTTCCAGGGGTTCCGGAGATTTGATAGTATCTTGCGTGTTTTGGAGGGTTTCGGGAATCTAAGAAATCTGGAATTTCGAAACCCATCCACTTCTCCCACGCTTAAAAACTATAAAACGCTCTGTGGTAATCCATATAATGCGCGTCAAAGACTAGCTACAAAAATATTTTAAGTTTTGATATTTTATCAATATCGCAATTGCTGTTAGTAGTACTTATCCGTTCCATAACTCTTCTGCTTATAAAATATACTTGTTTATGACATTCTTTAAACTCCCGTTGTTCCTAATCAAATAGGATATTGATAACAAAAATAGTTACTCTTAAGAGGATATTCTAGTCTCGAGTTTCGTTTTTCTGGTCTTTTTAGACATTTTTTTCATAAAAAAAAGTATAAGTTTCGCTTCAGTGTGTAAAAATATTTCAAAAAAGGAGGTGTACTAATACTTTTTTTATCTACTGTAAGTATCGATGTAACAGACAAAGGTAGAAACAAATTTCTAATTTTCTGGTTAAGGTTGAAACCAGAACAAACATTCACAATTCGGCCCCAAATCGATTGGTCCGCAGTTACACGTTCCAGCAATTCGAAACAAGAATCCGTGTTTCGAATAGGGAGGCTGCTTCATTTCTCGCGACCACTACCGTCGAAGCGTCGAAACGTGTAGGACCATCGAAACGCCACGGCGCGCTTGTTGAAAAAGCCAGAGGGGAACCAATAATAAAACGAAAAATCAACAAAAAAAAAAACGCCCAACTGAAATGAAAGTTGCTCTACCGGAACGTTGTATTCCCGTAACGAATCTTTCTGGTCGACGTGACCAATGCTTCGTCGTTTCAACGTTCTTCCATCCCTACTCCAGCCCGCCATCCCTCCACTTTTGCAGCCCCTATACAGGATTGACAGAACCAATTAGTGGTTCCGTCGATTTTTCGCCATTTCTGGAAAACAACAATACCCTAGAGAGAGGCAGCGAGTCAGTAAAGGGGAGAAAAAAGGCAAAAATGAATGCCAGTGATGCAACTACAAAAAAAGGGAGATAAAGGTAGAGTAATGAAAATGAAATCAATGGTGCACTGGGATTATGTCATTCACAACTTTTGATACCGTTTGAGATTCATATAGTGGAATAGTGGAATTAACAATTGTCAAACGAGGGGCAGAACGGTAAAGAAATGTCTCCATCTTACACTTACATATCATGAAGTGATTTCCTCATTATTTAAGTCCTGGCACCGACGTATGTTTATAATTATGAACTTCATCAGATCTCCAAATATGTACAATAATATGCAATTTTGTCTACTTTTATGGATAATTGAAGAAATTAAATTGGTACAATATTATCTTTTCAAAGATATACGATATCTTATTTTTAAAAGTTAGAGCCAACCATTGATGTGCATTTATTGTATTTATGGTGGCAACAGTTTCTTTGTGTCAACTTCTTTCTTTCATAGGGATATTTAGTATTTTACTACTATCATTAACGTTGTGTAAATTATAACATACCATTTTTTAAACATAACAAATGTCTTACAAAAATTACAAAATCCAACATTAACGATATGCACTTCGTTACACATATCGATCAAATTATCGAACACCTTTATAGTAGACAAAATCGATATTAGGGATGAACAAATTGAAAAATTCATTATTTCAGCTTTGTTACTTAACACAAAACCTACCGATACTTAATGTATATGCTCATCGAATAGCGGATGAAATGCCCTTTAAAATTAGCGTTTGTACAAGTCGATAGCTCCATTAGTTCCGGAGATATAGCGATTTTAGTTTCAAGTCGATGCGGTGGCTAGTTTCGGAGATAGGGTTTGTTTACGTTTCGTTGTTGCGCTCACGAGTTCATTGATCTCGCGCACGCGACAATAGTAAACAGTGCGTAGTAAATTCTTGGAAATACTACGCCGAAATTGGGTCACGACAGTCACGTACGGATCGACAAAAACCAAAAACCATTTCAAAGAGGAAACTTTGCCGCTTCGAACAGCGGCTGAATTATTAATAAAACACTAGTAATTTCAAAACTGCATGCGCCTAAAGTTTAACTATTTTTTTCTAAGATTAGAAACTGAAGACTCTCTCCATTAATCTTTAATCTTATACATATATATTTCCTATTTACATCGAAAGCTAATCAGAATTTGGTACCAAATTTTGTCCACTTCTTTACAAAAAAATATAAATCCTTCAACCGGTCAGATGATCGGTCGTGGAACGTAAGACAGACTACGTATTTTTCTCAGAAAACAATAAGAATAGAAGTGAATATTGTAAAATTCATTGTACGTATACTATAAGAAAAGTCGTGAAGTTAAATGGCGCTAAAATAATATTGTATATTAGAAATTCTAAACTAAATTTTAAAAACGGTCATTTTACCGGTCGCGGTAGGTTAGTGTTAAAGATACATGCGCTTCAAAACGAATCATTTTTCATGAAGTCGGTACAAATCTATCGTATTTTATTTTCTGATATTCGTTTAAATTCTTGCCACTATCAGCACGACGGACTACTTCCATTCTGAATCGATAACTGTGGATTTGATATAGAAATGGTAAAGGAACTATAGCTTGAGTACAAGAATGTTTATCAACGGGTATGATGTGGCATAATAGTGTTCAGTATATTAATCAGTCAAATCATATATAAACTATTTATTAAATCGATAAAGTTAGCAAACTGTACATCAACTGTCGATTCCATTAAAAGTGGGAAATTCAAATTGTATTCATACGGTGGAATAAAAGTATTAAACTATCTTCTGTAACAAAAACGTAATTATGGAATATTTTATTATTATTTTTTGTTTGTATTAAACACTGAGAAGATAATATTTTCTTGTATCGACAATTTCATCAGTATATGTATGATTATTACAGTTTCAAAGCTAACTCCTACTACATATTAATTATGCCTGCACCTCTATCAACTATTAACATTCAATATCCTTTTTGTTTTTGTAATTCAATATTATGATGAATGAAGAAACTGTGTGGCAGGAATTATCAGAAATACTTGCCGATCCCCCAGAAACGAGAAATAAATGTTCGCAATGCAAGTAAGTACATGCATGAATATTAGGTTATGTATAAATAATCGTATTCGATTTAAAAGAAAACGGTACTTCCCCTGTATTATTATAGTCAATAAAAAATTAATATTTGCAGATTTCTTGAAAATAATACGAAGCACGCCATTAATATATTTTTACAGGAGGCCAGTGCCAGTATGTTGGTGTCCTGGATTGCCAAAACACCCTGTATGTCCTGCATCGAAAATAATAATTTTACAGCATCCAGCTGAAGCAAAACGCTGTTTACGAACTGCACCTATGCTTGCATTGGGCCTTGAATCTGGGAAATGCGCAATTTTCAGGTAAGTCTATTAATATATTAAGGATAATGCCAAGAGAGCAGAAACAATGTTATTGCATTCTTAACTTTAGGGGGAAAAAATTTCCATTATCTAAACATGAAGGTTTGACAGAAATTTTGAATGATAAAAATACTATATTGTTATATCCATCTCCTGATGCCGTAGCACTTGATAAATTAAATCCAGTTGGTATCGATGGACAAAAACCATACAATCTTATTTTGTTAGATGGAACTTGGCCACAAGCAAAGGTAGTACATGCAGTACTTTAGACAGTTGTCCTGTTGAAGTTGATGAAGATACAACTACTTTTCACAGGCAATATACCATTCAAGTCCAGCACTTTGTGTGTTGCAAGCATGTAAATTAGTGGGAGTACCAACAAGTGAATATGTTATTAGAACTCAACCTACTGAAGGTTGTTTGTCTACACTTGAAACTGGTGCATTTGCACTTTCAATTTTGGAAGGAGATCCAGAATTAAAGGATAAAATGCTTGGACCCCTACATTATCTCTGCAGGTCAGTTTCTAACACTACAATGTGAAAATGTATTCTATATGACTAATAAATATAAATAATGTAGGTTTCAGTTGGAAAATGGAGCTGTAACTCATCAAAGTAAGGAATTCCTTATTAAACAAAAAACATACCCTAAGCTTATAGGGAGGAGACTAGCTAAACAGTTACGAATGCTACCTGAAGAATCTACATAACAGTTTCTACTAAGTAACTTAATATAATAGACAAAATACTAATTATAGATACTTACAGAGATTCATTCTAGAACAAATGTGTAATTTTGATAAATATGTACAAGGATAGTATTTCATAAAGAGAAACAATTATATAAACAAGTAACGTCTTTAATTTAAAAACATATTTTTATAAATATTGCGTCACGTTATTTCATAGTTTTTGACAACATATGAAAATCACATGTCATATTTCCATGGTGTGGTACAAAGACAAATGACCATTGAAGAACATTTTGTTGTGTAACATTTGTTATGTCTCTAAATAAATGCACACCTTGTCTCGTAAACGGATCCCATGATATCCGTTTACCAGGCTGTATTTCTGTAGTAGGTCCAGAAGATACTGTAATTTCGGAATTCAAATGCCAATCAACCCATAAAGCCACACCATTACATGATCCATTCCTATATTAATTAAAAAAAAAATTAAAAAAAAAACAATAAATATTTGTTTATTATAACCATTAATGTAGAATTCAAAAAAATCTTACTCTAATATAGAAACGGTATTTGAAATATTTATATTTTTATATTCATTTGCATTCTGTGTCAAATCGAATTCTTGAATAATAAAAGGTAAACTTAGTGCCTTAGCAGGGTACTCCCATAATGGTTGAGCTTCTATTGGACTATCACTTTTCTCGCTTGATGCCTACAAAATATTTGAAAACTTAGTCTAATTTTCAAATATTTTTAATAGGTTAACATACCTGAACAAGTTTATCAAATATAGATAAATCAAAACCTTCACAGATTCCAAGCGGTGCCCGTATTTTATGTAAATCTTTAAATTCAACCGCAACACCCATAATTGTTGCTGCAATCGGAATTCTTTCTACTTGAGATGAATATTTTGATGAGAGATACCAGTAATAAAGATTTTCCCATGGTATAATGGAAGTAACAAAATACGGTTCGCCAAAAATTAAATTAATTGTGTTTTCTGGAGGCAAATCATCTACTGATTCAATGATATGTACTTTTTCTGAGAGTTCATTTGCTTTTATAAACATTTCTGTACATTTTCTGGATAGAAAATTGGTCTCTAAAATAAATATTTTCTTTGCGCCTAATTTTATAGCAGCAAGACTTAGTAAACAACTATCTGACAAACATAAACAAACTGTTTCTGATGTAACCTTCTCTTCCAGTGCTTTAATATATTTTTCATTTCGTTTTTCATCATTTAATTGTCCTATACGTGTTCTACAATAAGCTACGTGAACACCGCAACTGCAGATAGGTCTTTTACAATCTGGTATTTCACTTCTGCAAATGAGGAACTATAGAAAACAGTCAAACGAGAGACAAATACAGGTATCCCTCGAGTTACACGGTACTTCAGGCAACTTTATTTAAAAAAAAAATGTATGTATGTAATTATAGATGAATGTTTTTAAATAAAAAAGATAATAGGTATTTCACAATAGTTTGTATATATTTCAAAATATTTCAGAGACTAATTCTGAGTCTCGACTTACGCGGAACCAATTAATATCGTAACTCGAGGGATACCTCTAATAAAATAAATACAATGCTCAAATCAGCATACATTGATTCATTTATCAATTGAAACCAAAGAGAATATTCATCATGATATCCAATCAAACTAATTCCGTTGTCAGCAATGACTGATGTTTCTATAGGTAAGTAATAGATAGCTTGCATCCAGTGATCCCTCCAAGGTATTAAATCTGCTATTTTTGTAAGACTTATACCTTCATCTTGTAACTTTTTTGTATTAGGATGTTCCCATACTGGTGCACAACTTAACAAAACCTATACAAAAGCTGTTTAGCAATAACCTTAGAGAATTCTTTCATATTTAATTATTACCTGATTGTCTATATCCATATTTAAATCCCACCACATGAAAATAGCATGTGCTGTACCAGTTGAAGTTGGTTTTACACGCAAGCATACTTTCTCATCATACTGTAGAGGTGTTTTACCAGACAAATCAAATCTAAAGTATTTAGTTTATATCTCATGATTATGTGAAATATTCTTAGCATATTGTACTTTCAAGTTATACATCTATATATTTACCTAAAAATAGCCTGAGGTGGTAATAATGGTTTAAATGCATTACGAGGAAATTCTGTTAATTGTATATCATGTACTGCAGCTGCTCCAAAACAAGACTTTACACAATGTGGTGTACTTAACAAGTATTTGTTTTTGTATTGTATCGGTTGTATTGTATTCCACGCATGTATAGCTGGACTCTCAACAACTTGTACCCAAACAGTAGCAGTATGTGGTACTACTATACTATTCTCCTAAGAAAACAAATACATATTAAACCTAAATTATATACCTGTATATAAATTAAGGAGATAGTATTTGTACTTCAAGGAGATATTCATGAGCATGACGAAACGTAGAAAGAGCTCCTTCTCCGATAAGTTCAGTATCAAATACTTCTGTAACTAAAATGTTTGCTTTCTTAACCATATCACCATCCTTTCCCACTGTCATTTTTGTAGAACGTTTGTGTATTAATTTGATCTTATTTTCAAAACCATTTTCTTCTATTATTTTTATAGCACATTTAGCCATTGGTGTAAAAGCCTAAAAATAGTCTTCAGGTTTCCAACTTGTAAACACATAAGTTTCAATTTGCAAATATAGTTTTAACAATTTCCCTGAAGAAACTTTTCACCTCGCATGCTGTTACACTATCTGCCCCACATTTGGCAGCCATCATTGACAATAACCCAGTACCAGTTCCTATATCAATTACATTAGCTTCTTCTCCAGTTTGATGCTTTCTTTCAATTGCAGTTTTAAGAGCAACGTAATATTTTTCATTCTACCATCATAATTGAATAGTTTAGTTTTATGAACATCCAGGCAGTACAAAACAATTTTCAATATATGTAATACATGGTACTAACTCTTTCATGGTCGTGTAACATATCAGCAAATGCTGATCTAGCAACTTCTTGATGATAATCATAATTTTCATCTTTTTCTTCCCAAGTAATAATACCGGTTAAAGGATTTAGACACTGAGTAAAAATACTCATGTTGCGCATAACAATTAACTGACTCACAGGAAATCGAAACATATACTTTTTCCAAAGTAACTTCTCAATTTCTAAAAATATAAAACTTTACATTTAGCTAATTAAAACTATCATAAAGAATAAACACAAAATAAACAAAAATTCACAAAAAAGTATATTTACAAATAACTTTATTTGAAAATATCAAATACAAATTAAACAGTAGGATATACTAAATTAAGGATATGAACAATGGATGGATACAATTGTATTAAGGTTCGTTAAACAATTATAACCACAAAGAAACGGTATAATGGAACAAAAGTACTACTTCTACAACGTATTATAATAAATTTCATCCACTCTCTGAATATGACAAATGTAAGCTACAACACGTGTAATTGTGTACGTCATATAATATGTAAATATACGTAGATGGACTTTTGAGATGACAATTCTTCGTTGTCATCTACCATATCAATTGAGTGAACCAGGCATACAAATAGATGTTCCATCCAATGTACTTTTTCGGCTCATTTCTCTGGGGGAGCCCCATTACATTTCCATGCTATTCACGACGTTACCAACAGACTATAGAAAACGATCACAGCGCTTATTATGATACGAAATGAAATTACCGGAATTCTTTTATTTTAACTTGTCCAGATTTGAGTATCAATCAATTAATTTCATTGGAGTAATCAATGGATTAAAGGATGTGATTGAAAATTTAGTTGTCAGAAGTAAGTCACGATTAATTATTTCAATATTAAATCCAACTATTGATTCAGAATGGAATTAAACTATAACGCTATGAACTATAAGAATTAAAACTAAATGTGACGAGAATTACGATTTGATAACCGATCGAAGTATTGATCGCTTTGAATCTGACGAAGAAGCTATATTTATATTAAACTGTACGAGGAACACCATAACCGAATCCTAACCAACCTCCTTTTATGAAGAATTTTTACGAGAAACGATGACCGTGATTACATCGATCGTTCGAAGAACCAACAGACAATACAGGAGTTTTCAGAAGAATTTCAACAGTATTTCCAAATACTTAATTTACAATGTGTAACATATAAGACAAAAACCAGTATCGTCAACTTGTACTAAATTCAAAAGAAACCGTAAGTAAACCATTCATAAAAATATAATATAAGAAGTGTATATGTATATGTCTAAACCGAGGAACGCTGACACGAGGAAAGAATATTATCGTAGGTGTCGATGATGAAAGTGTATAGATTAAGAAGAAATGCACCCGATAAGGGAATTATTTAGCCAGACGCCGAAACGCGTCCGAGGATCTGCTCCTCGACATGCGCAGCAAAAGGGGATCACCGTGTCGGTGAATTTGTTTATAATAGATAAGAGTCAAGAGAGTTCGACTTCGGCAGTAAAGAGACGCTCTGCATCGAACTTGCGTCGACAATATTTATCTTATCATTTGTACGTTTATGTTCTTTGTGTACTTTGTTAAATAATTTGCATAATATTAAATAATATAGTTATATCTCCATATTAAAAGTGTCCGAATATTTGAATCTGACCACAGGCCAGAACCCATTCCTGACATCCTTAAAATAAAATGAAAGATCTCCCGAAAGCAGCCACGTAGAGTGTTTTGTTATGCGCAACTCTACTGAATAATAGTTAAAAAAGTAGTTAAAATGATCAGGTACAGCCGTCCCACGCTGTTGAGAATAACAGTTGATGCAGCTGCTTCGTGATTCCTGGACCCTACCCTGAAAAGCAAACGCGAAAAAATAATCGCAACACTAAAAACAATAGCGATCTAATTCATGTCAATTCCAACTCGTAATGTTACTGCAAACCGAGATTAATGTTTACAGGTAACGCTACTCTGAAAGAAAACGCGAAAATATTCATTGTTCGCAACGCTAAAAGTAATCGCGATAAGTTTGAATTATTCGCAACGCTACCTTGAAATCAAACACGATCGTTCGTATTTCGCAACACTAATGAAAACCGCGACTTGTCCAAAAACAGTGGCCGTTGTGGTACCAAGTACCATCTGAAAATCTACAATTACTACAACTACAAACGAATACAGTGACAAAGTAGTAACATAGAATGATTTTCCATCCTCATCCGAAGATGAAAATGAAAAACCATTTGTTGCAGCCCACTCTTGAGACAGTTTGTCAGGGCCTCTTCGACTCATCGAGTCTTTTCTTTCTTCGGCGGTCCTGCCGAAGCCTGAAACTTAAGCCTAGACTCGAGATTCCGTGCAATACACAGCCGGGTGTGGAGAAACTCGAGCGGGACGAGCGTTTCGAGAAACCTTCCGCGACAGAGAACGCGACCGCGAAGAGCGACTTTAAAGTCACGCGATTCGAAGAATCGAAAGTAAAACCAAAACAAACGATAGCATCAGTTTGGATCGGTTAACGTTTCAACTCTCCAAATCGAACTACAGGAACAGGTCTGCCACGGAAATAATATCTGTGATAGTCCCTATAATCCTGACCCTACCTACTTAGGTCTAAACACACACACCAGAAAGTAAGCTACCTACCTACCTAATCCCATATTTAAAAATAGCAAAACGCATTCTCGCAAACAAGCACTCCACGGTTCTCACACATAATGTCCGGGCGCGGCCTAAACTAGGGAGGAAGCCCCGGGGTTCCTCCGACACTCGGACATTGCAAACATTCACACTCTAAGGTACGTACCAATTTCCTGAAATCGGCTGACAAAGGCTAGTGACTATTGCGTTTTAATTTTACATAGTCTGATAAAACTATTCGTTACGTCGTACATGTCCGTGAACTCTTCGACAGACATTCCTTACAGATCGTCGTCGGCACATAATTCGAGGGGTCTACAATTTCTTGTACCCATCTCGAGAAAATGTCGTAAAATTCTCAAGCTAATATTATTAATTATTCAAAAATTATTTGAAAAATAAGAAATAAAAATTTAATAATTTTATTTAATTTCGTAAAAATATATTATTACAAAATACAATTTCATTTTTAAAGTATAATAAATTTTTAAACGACGCAATTTCCACGTCCAAACCACACACACACACACACACACGGGGAAAGTACGTCGTTCACAGTACGTGTTTTAATTTTACATTGTCTGATAAAAGATATTTTACCCGTGTACCCATATGCTGTCGTTACGTCGTACGTGTCCGTGTGCTCTTCGACAGACATACCTTGGAGATCGTCATCGGCACATAATTCGAGGGGTCTACAATTTCTTGTACCCATCTCGAGAAAAGTCGTCAAGTCGTTGAAAAAATCCCCAAGCTAATAATATTAGCCATTTTATAATTATTCGAAAAATAAGAAATAATATGTCGTCCGTGTGCTCTTCGATAGACAATCCTTACAGGTCGTCGTCGGCACATAATTCGAGGGGTCTACAATTTCTTGTACCCATCTCGAGAAAATGTCGTCAAGTCGTTGTAAAAATCTCAAGCCAATATTATTAATTACTCAAAAATTATTCGGAAAATAAGAAATAAAAGTTTAATAATTTTATTTGATTTCATAAAAATATATTATTACAAAATACAATTTCATTTTTGAAAGTATAATAAATTTTTAAACGACGCAATTTCCACGTCCTAACCACACACACACACACACACACACGGGGAAAGTACGTCGTTCACAGTACGCGTTTTAATTTTACATTGTCTGATAAAAGATATTTTACCCGTGTACCCATATGCTGTCGTTACGTCGTACGTGTCCGTGTGCTCTTCGACAGACATACCTTGGAGATCGTCATCGGCACATAATTCGAGGGGTCTACAATTTCTTGTACCCATCTCGAGAAAATGTCAAGTCGTTGAAAAAATCCCCAAGCTAATAATATTAGCCATTTTATAATTATTCGAAAAATAAGAAATAATATGTCGTCCGTGTGCTCTTCGATAGACAATCCTTACAGGTCGTCGTCGGCACATAATTCGAGGGGTCTACAATTTCTTGTACCCATCTCGAGAAAATGTCGTCAAGTCGTTGTAAAAATCTCAAGCCAATATTATTAATTACTCAAAAATTATTCGGAAAATAAGAAATAAAAGTTTAATAATTTTATTTGATTTCATAAAAATATATTATTACGAAATACAATTTCATTTTTGAAGTATAATAAATTTTTAAACGACGCAATTTCCACGTCCTAACCACACACACACCACACACACATGGGGAAAGTACGTCGTTCACAGTACGCGTTTAAATTTTACATTGTCTGATAAAAGATATTTTACCCGTGTACCCATATGCTGTCGTTACGTCGTACGTGTCCGTGTGCTCTTCGACAGACACACCTTGGAGATCGTCATCGGCACATAATTCGAGGGGTCTACAATTTCTTGTACCCATCTCGAGAAAACGTCGTCAAGTCGTTGAAAAAATCCCCAAGCTAATAATATTAGCCATTCTATAATTATTCGAAAAATAAGAAATAATATGTCGTCCGTGTGCTCTTCGATAGACAATCCTTACAGGTCGTCGTCGGCACATAATTCGAGGGGTCTACAATTTCTTGTACCCATCTCGAGAAAATGTCGTCAAGTCGTTGTAAAAATCTCAAGCCAATATTATTAATTACTCAAAAATTATTCGGAAAATAAGAAATAAAAGTTTAATAATTTTATTTGATTTCATAAAAATATATTATTACGAAATACAATTTCATTTTTGAAGTATAATAAATTTTTAAACGACGCAATTTCCACGTCCCAACCACACAACACACACACACACACACATGGGGAAAGTACGTCGTGCACAGTACGCGTTTTAATTTTACATTGTCTGACAAAAGATATTTTATATGTATCCCAAGCTAATATTATTAATTATTCAAAAACTATTTCGAAAAATAAGAAATAATGGTTTAATAATTTTATTTGATTTCATAAAAACATATTATTACGAAATTGCAATTTCATTTTTAAGGATAATAAGTTTTTAAACGACGCACATCCACATCCTAACCACACGCACACACATGTGGGATGTACGTCGTGCACAGTACACTAACGCAATGTCAGCCGCTAATAAAATATACTATTATAGTCATCGTGCTCATTGCCTTTACTCATGCAAGTAGCACCTGAGCACTTGGATGAGTTCAGCCAACGAACACGGAAAAATAACCTGAAAATCCTGAACTAAAAATTTGATATATATTAATATTGAGAATTTTATTATGAAAGAAAATTGTTGCCTTCAAAGTTTGATTATTTAAAAGAAAAAATTTAATTAAGATTTAACAAGAAAATAATTTAATTCAAAAGTTTAAAATAATTCATTCAAGTAATTTTAAATTTATTAATTTATTAATGAAAATATTCAA